CCCTCCTCACTATCACAACTCCGCCAATTTTTGTGTCATCTGCAAAATTACTAATCATAACACCTAAATTTTCATCCAAATCACTTATATACATTAGAAACAACACTGGTGACATACCTCCAGTCAGAAAAACATCCTGCCACAACTACCCCCCTGCCTTCCATGACCAAGCCAATTTTGTATCCAACTGACAAACTCAGCATGGAACCCATGTGACTTAAGTCTGATGTAGGTGCAACCGAATGATATTACACACATTTTTCACAGGACTGCTGCCAGTGGTTATGAATAGAAATCAATTACTACCATACAAATATTTGAGACATGTATTCAGCTCCCTCATCTTACTTACCCTATACCAATTTCCTATGGCTCAGGTAATAATTCAGAGATTTTTAAAAATTTAGTCACTAGCTGCTCATTCTCCCTTAGTAAACTTTCTTTCCTATTCTTAACTATTGGTGCCTGCCTGTATCACATTAACTGGATCTTCCCCCTCCCAAGTTCCTCTCCAGCCCTGACCCTGCAAGCCCTGAACAGGCTATAAAAATACAGCCTCCCCAACTCCTGCCCTTGGATATGTCTGTTACTCTGACTGTAATGTTCTTTATTTCCAATCTTGTAGTTACTCCCTCCATTTGAATGGCTTCCTATATTGCAAAGCCACAGCTTGTTTGCTCATCTAGCCTGTAGTGCCTGCACTCATCCATAAAAGCTGCAAGAACCTCAAAACTGTTGGACAACTTTAGGCTCAGAGGCTCCTGCACTTCTGGCTTCTCAAATTCCATACTTCATCTGTTGTCACAGTTCCCAGTCCCTGACAATTTATCCAGTAGAATATCCTACCCTAAGGTGTATGATGACTTCTGTCGCAGTGTCCAGGTAACTTACTCCTGCCCTGATACATTACAGTGTCTGTAATTTGGAGTGCAGCTCATTGAATCTGAGCTGAAGCTCTTTGTCACAGACACTTACTGCTGATTGGTTGCTGTGCATCACACTTGTCCAGAATCTTTCTCATATTGCAGCTGCAATACTTCATCTGCTCTACCATCTTTATTGTAGTTATTTTCTAATAGGATGTGGGATGGTAGCTAAAGCCGACCAGCATCCACATCCAGAAGATCATCAGCCGCTATTTCTACCATCTCCAGTGAGATGCCACCACCAGACACATATTCCCTCCCCTCCCTTGTCCACCTTCTGCAGGGACCGTTCCCTCTGGGACACTCTGATCCATTCTTCCTTCACTCCCAACGTCCCTCCACAGTCTCACAGTACCTCCCCCTGCAATCACCGAAAGTGTAACACCTGCTCATTTACATCCTCCGTCCCAATATGCAAGGACCCAAACATACCTTCCAGGTGATGCAGCACTTTACCTGTACTTCTCACAATTACTCTACTGCATTCACTGCTCACAGTGTGGTCTCTTCTACATTGGGGAAACAAAGCCTAGACTGGGTGACCACTTCACAGAGCATTTATGTTCTGCCCGCAGAAAAGACCCTGAGCTTCCAGTTCCCTGCCACTTTAACACACCACCCCGATACCTGGCCAACATCTCTTTCTCAGCTTTGCTGCAGTGTTCCAGTGAAGCTCAGCGCAAGCTGGAAGAAAACACCTCATTTTCCGCTTGGGGACCCTACAGCCCTCTCGACTCAATATCAAGTTCAATAATTTTAGGGCATGAATTCTCTCATGTCCTAGCCCCCTTACCAGACACCAGGCCATGTTATCACATAGCCTGCCATTACACACTACCTGTTGTTAGCCACTAACAGCTTCCATTAACAGCTATTCACCCTTGTAGTCAAATCATTATCAATTCCTTTGTCTGTTCCACTCTTCTTCTCTCTCTCTTTGGGCTCTATCGTTTACTCCTTACCATCTCCTCCACCCTATCTTCTGCATTCGAATCAACATTTTCCTAGCTACCATCAGTTCTGAGGAAGGGTCACCGGACCTGAAATGTTAAGTCTGATTTTTCTTCACTGATGCTGCCAGACCAACTGAGCTTTTCCAGCAACTTCTGTTTTTGTAGCTTCTTACAGTCCTTGTTTGCATCTCTTAATTAATTAAAAAGTAATTGCTTAAGGGTTATAAGTTCACGATTTTTCTAATTTCTAGACATCCAAATAGCTGTGTACTAAACAAGTTATTTAGACACTCTATAGCAGCAGTTATTCATTAGTTAATCAACTTATGATTTTCACCTGAGCTCTCTATTTGATTTTTATTTTATTTTCAAACTCAGTCAGCACACACCAACTCCTGCAGGAAGGTACATTCCTTGGAAGTTTCTCTGCAGATCTGCCACTGCAACTCCCTCTCCCAACTCCCTCCAGGTGAGTCATGGCACCTGAGCTGGGTCTTCACTTATGCTGTCCTTTCTACTTTCCTTCCACTGCTGTTGCCTCCCTCAATTTCCTGCAGATTAGTGAAGGCCCCTGGGCCTGGGGTCTTGGTTTATTCTTTCTTCAGTGGGTTTCTCTCAAGTCCACTGCCATTACTGCCTCTCCTGAATCCTTCCAGGTAAATGAAAGACTCCTAGCCTGGATCTGAAATCATTCTCTCCTTGGCAATTTCTTCACTGCTCCACCAATTCTCCTAACTCACTGCTGTGATTTGAGGGAGCTTTTGTGAATTGCTGCAGCACAGCTTCTGGATGATGCTGGAGTAAATGGACAAACAGGAGTTTTAGTCATACCTAGCACATACAATGTGCACAAATATGCAGCAGTGTCCACCACCTACGAGGTGCATTGCAATAACTTATCAAGACTTCTTTGACAAATCTGTGTCCTCTGCCACCTGGAAAGGGCAGCAGATGCATGGCAACACCACCATCTGCAAGATCCCCTCCAAACAATGCAACACTTGACTTGCAACTATATTGCTATTCCTTCACTGTCATCGGGTCAAAGTTCTCCAAGTCCCTTCCCCAGCACTTATCCAAAAGAGAAAATCAGCAGTGCAGCATTACTTCAGTAATGATGTAAGTTTGGCATAGCTTATATGATCAAGCCCATAGTCTTCCAACTCAAAGCTGAGAGTGCAGCCATTAGGCCAACCCAATACTTCCAAAATAAAAATTCACTTTCTGCTGCAATGAATCAATCATTTCGTAAAACATTGTGAAGCAAATTATAACCCTGTTTAATAAGTTTATCATTAATACAAAGAAAATAAAGTTCAAACGTATCAATAAAAGCTAAGTATGCACTGCTGACATTTGAACATGTTCATTATTTGATACAGTAAGTTGCAAAACATTCAAATGTTACTGAACTTAAATAGAACATGGAACGCAATGAATTCATATTTATGAATTACCCTTTCTCCCTCACTGTCACCAGCTGTCACTTCCTCTTGTCACGGAATCTGTGGTTTCAAAGTTTGTAACTTTTTGAGGCAATTAGAATGGGAAATTGATCATAGATGATGATCCCAATGGTGTAGGGCAGGGAGCCTGAATAAGACACAGCTTCAGTCTAGAAGCAGAGAATAAGCAAATATACAATTTCTGCAGCTGTTCTTGAAGATAACATTGGTGGATTTAGGCTATCCAAACTGCCAGAAGTAGAATTGAGGAGGTTCTGCAGATGTATGTCCCTTTTGGTGAGGACTGTATCCATGAAATTTAGATGGGTTGAACACTGGAGATCAGAGTAAATCCTGGAAGAGGAGCTGAACTTCTTTGCAAGGAAGACAGAGTTTTGAAGGACTTAGTGACTGAGATTTATGACGTTTGTGCTGAGTGATAGCCAACCAATTCCTAAAATCTGTCTTAGTTGTATCGGCCATTTAATTGACAATATGAGGTTTGTAATCAACTGCATTTTGATTTCTTGATTCATGCTAACTTTAGTTGATTCTGGCACTTACAGTATAGTTGGTTAAGCACGATAGAATTTAACGTTTGCCTTGTTTGACAGTTGAAAGCCTTTGGGTTAGACCATGGGCTCTAGTGGCTTCATTCTTTCAGTAAATAAGTGAGATTGTGGATTTCTTCTATTGCCAAGATAAAGTTACTGATCTCAACCAAGATCACAATACTATCTTCTCTAGGCATTCTTTGAATTATTGATTGTATCTTTCTGTCATTCTAGCCATCATCTCACTCTTTTTCTTAATTAGAATTTTTGTGGTCGCTTATACTATCATATGTATGGTACAGTTATATAACGCTCTACTGCACCACAGACAAACTACATAAACAATGTGAGCAACCTTTACCTGATCCAGGAGGTTTGTCTGCTTTCAGTTCCAAGGAAGGGGCATTCAGTGTCTTGCATTTCCATACCAGACGATGTCTCCCTTCATTAGGCCACACAGGGCGGAAGAAATTCTTCCTCTTCTCAGTCCTAAATTTTTCCACCTTATTCTGAGACTTCTTGCCTTGCTTTCAGGACAACCAGCCAGGGAAGATTCTTCCTATATTTAATGAATCAAGCGCTTTTAGAACTTAATATGTTTCAATGAGATTGCTTTCATCTTCTAAATCCATGCATGCTTAGCCTGATGAACCTTCTATGTACTTCCTCTATGGCAAGTATATGATCACTTTCAGTCTCCAGTTCCTCTACATGTAGCTTTCCTGTGTGCTTGCCAGCTACTCGGCCTGCTTGCCTGTGGTACCGTGCAGAACTGGAGATGAGACAGTTGTTTTCAGGTCTTTCAATCTAGACAAGGGAGGCCACATGTTGTCCCCTCTCTCACTGGAATTGGATTGTATTTGAAGTGCGTAAGTGTGTTAGACTGATTGCAAATGAATGTCCTTTCTTGTTTTGCCTTGTAAGGGCAGTTTGTATGGATTTAGGGGTTTTGAGCCTTAGACTCTTATGGGAATGGTTTGGCAGCAGTGTTCAGCATAAGACTACTTTGATGCGATAAAGTCAGACCAAGTTCTTTAAGTTTTTCAAGTAAATTAAAAATGTTGTTTCATTTCCCTTATTATATTCACTTAAAAAAATCTCATTGTTGAAATTTTTAATTAGATTAGACTCAACATTTTTAGGAAGAAAGGTCCAGATTTCCAGCAGGATTTGTGTGAGGATGTACTTTTTGATACCACTACTGAATCACCCAAGACTGATGCCATATTTGTGACCCTTAATACTGCAAGCTCATGAGCAAACAGCCTCTTCCCTGACAAAAAGAAGATCATTGATAAAGCAATTGGAAATGTTTGATTCGACCAGATACAGATCAGCACAAGTTCATCAACTACGGTATGTAGTTCAGTTTATAAAACATTTACTAAAGATCAGGTCTGATTTTACGACTTGCCTTTTTCCTTATCATCAGAAGTTGAATTCTCAAAGTAGCCTCGTAGGAATAATATTTTTCTATATCCATACTAGCAACGTGTACTGTGTAACTGTTCTATTGCCTACACTGACGACACTGCTTTGTATGTTTTGTGCTTTGAACAGCTTCTTACTCACTCCAAGTTCCAGTTCATCTGCTTCCAAACAGAAGGTTGGCTCAGATCCAGGAGTGCAGCAGGTTAACAGACAGATTCCCATTGTGCCTGAACAGAAAAATAATAAATTCATAATCAAAAGAACTTGTACAGATGATATTGCTTCTAACTGATCTACATCAGATGGCATATTCAAGCTAAATGAATAAGAGAACGAAGGAGAAGCAACAGAACAATGAACAAAGCCTGTCCAAATTCCCTTCAAGCCTCATTGTATCATCCTCATAACTCATTCCTACATCATTATGTTGTCTGCAAACTTTTCAATATTACATTTGGTGTCCACATTCAGATCAGTGATACAGATTGTGAACAGCTGGGTTCTAAGCACAGACCCTTGAAACACCCTACTCATCACACATTGCCAACCTGAGAATGACCCATTTATTTCTGCTCTGTTTTCTTTCCATTAACCAATCCTCAGTCTATGCCAGTATGTTACCCCGATCCTATGTACTGCTGTTTTGTTTATTAATCCCTTGTATGGGATCTTATTAACAGCCACTGAAAATCCAAATACACAACACCCACTTGTACACCTTTATCTACTCTATTAATACCACCCTCAATAAAATGCCAACAGGATTGTAAGATGTGATTTGCTTTCATACATCCATGTGATATATGCTGAAACTGATCATCATTTTCTGAGTGACTAGCTTTACATCATTTGTAGTAAATTCTAGCATTTTCCCTGCAACTGTTATCAGGCTAACAGATCTGTAGTTTTGCATTTTTTCGGTCCCTTCATTCTTAAATACTGGGGTTGCATTTGCAACCCACTGTAGGCACTGTTCCAACATCTGTAGACTTTTGAAATAATCTATGTCTTGAGTCCCTACTTTAAACACTGTGGGATATAGATCAATGGATCCTAGAAATCTGTCAACTTTCAGTAATTTATCCAATACTGTGTTTTCATGAACATTCATTTTGTTCAATTCCTCCTCTCTAAAATTTCTTGTATCTTATTCAATAAAGATAGTCACAAAGGGTGGAAACTTCCCAGGCCCTGAATGATGTGGAGAATAGTGAGTCAGCTGAGAAAATATGGCAAGATCAAAAAAAATGAGATTTTTGATGATGAGAAAAAATGTCTGATTTTCCACCCAAGGTTTAAACAGTGAGACAAGAATCTCACTAATGAATAGTGATATGTCAGTATGCTTGTGTAAACAACTCATAATTACATAATTTCACCTCATTTATATGCAGTTTTCTACCTTACCAGGCAGTGGACAGGAACTAGATGGTAACAATTCTCAACATGAAAGTCTCCTCTGGGCCTACATCTTGGCCAGCAGTCCTCAACATCTCAGATCATGTTCCATTGTCAATGGATGCCTGCAACCCTTGTCCACAGTGGTTGGCATTGGACACACACTAGCCTCCCCACACCATCATGGCCTTATAATGGAGAGATGATCAATTACAAAACAGCTGAAGATGGTTGATTCTAAGACATCACTATAAGAAACCCCTGAAGCGATGTTCTGGAGCTGAAATGATTGGCCTCTAATCATCAGAATACATCTTTCTTTCTGGTAGGTATGATCCCAACCTCTAGAAAGTGTGACTGTCAGCAAACTGCTGAATTATATGGTGCCCTGTTCTGTAGCTAGATCAGAGAGGCTATTAAGCAATGTAGAGCCAGTAGTGGTATTGGTAGAAAATAATTTTCTAGAGTTCTGAACATTACCCTGGTTAAATGTTATCCTTACCATGGACAGTAGCAGTGTCCCATAGAGAGAGAGTAAGAACTGCCGATGCTGAAGTCTGCATTTCTGAAGAAGGATCCTGACCCGAAACGTCAGCTTTCCTGCTCCTCTAATGCTGCCTGGCCTGCTGTGTTCCTCCAGCTCCACGCTGTGTTATTATTAGTGGTGTCCCATACATTGTTCCTACTGTCTCCTGTCTCTACAGTGGGCACTGTTAACTTCAGGAAACATAAGACGAGAACTCCAATTTCAGAAAATGCCCTAAGCAACTTCAATACTTCTCCCAAATGGTTACACTTCATTTCTGAATCTGGACAGTTGTCAGTATATTCAAATTTAGAAGGTATCAGTGCCAACACTAATGCTTTACACACTTAAGGTACTGAATTGGGGCCAATTAGTTGCATTGTTATTTAGATTCATTCGCTAGCAAGAATCGAAGGAAGGTCAAGGGAATGTGAAAGTTTTATTTCCTTCAGCTTTTGAGGTGACAACACATTGAAGTCACTCCTTTTCCCAAGCAATTATTTATATCAAACTTAGTTTGTGTGTAAGTACTGTGCCACACAGACCTCTCCTTCCAGCTTTTTTTTTGTGTGTAGTAAAGGCACAGACATCAGCAACAATGCCCTCTGCTTTTGCCCCCTCTAGGGCTGAGCCAAAGTTTAGCTGGTCCCCTGTGACAATCATTAGTACACTAGCTGGAGAAAACCCAGATAAAGCTTTACTTAGTGAAGCATCAGCAGTCTTTCCTTGTTCACCTTTGCGTCACCTTCTACTTGTTATGAAAGCTCAGACAATTCATTGCCCCTAGTCAGACAAGAAACAAGGTTATGAGGGTAATCGACATTGGCCCAAAGCACTTCACAGAAGTATATCCAAAAATGAATGATGAGCCAGAGAGGATATTAGAAAATAAAATCAAAGAACTGCACTTGCTGGAAATCTGAAATGAAAACGGAAAGTGCTGGAGAAACTCAGCAGGTCTGACAGTATCTGTAGTGAGAAAAAGTGAATTAACATTTCGAGTTCAGTGACACTTCATCACAACTGACAGATAAAGGAAAAGGTGATCAAACAGCTGTCAAGGATGTCACCTGTTTGATCATCATGCTATGAAAACGTGTTGTTTGAAATATAAAATCACAGTATCATCTTGGAGATGCACCATAGAGAGGTAAAACTGAAAGCTTGTTGCAAGCCAGTTCATGACAAAAAATTAAATGGCACAGAAAAGAATGTAGTTAGAAGCAGAAAGTTGCAAAGGAGCATAGATAGTTTAAGTGAGTGCGCAGCAGGGTAGGCAAATGGAAATGTTGGAAAGCATGAGAATATGCACTTAGGACCTATGAAAGTTAAATCACAATATGTTTGAAATGTAAAGCTAGTGGACAGGAACAAAATATTATTAAGATGAATGAAATGTTCACTTTTACATCAAGATGGCCTGAATATAAAAGGGTAAAAGTTATGCTATAATAGGTACAAATTTCTAATTAGACTCCAGTTGGAGTATTGCATTCAGTTTTGGGCACAACTCCTCTGGAAAGACGTACTGAACTTGGAAGGGGTGCAGTGTGGATTGACCAGAATGGTACTGACAATAAAAGAATTACTTTATGAAGATGTAGCAGAAATTAGATTTGTATTCCCTTGAATATTGAAGATGAAGGTGACTAACTGAAGTTTTTGAAATGAATGAAGGATTTGCTCAACTAGAGAGCAAATATTTCTCCTGATGTTAGAGACCAAAATAAAGGGACATAAAATTAGAGTTAGATTTTGCAAGGGTGATGTCAGAAAGTGTTTCTTCATATGAAGGGTTTCAGGATTCTGGCAGCATCTAGGCAATTAAACACAATTAAGGTATAGACCAGCAATGATTTAATAATGGTAGAACAAGCTTAAGCAGTCTTGTTCTGTACCTAAATATGTTCTAAATATGTCTTCAAAAAAATTGTTGAAAGGAACATTAACAAAGAATAACAACAAGAGCATGCTTCAAAGTTGGAAATTTAAAAAAATTGATAAAGTCTGCAATTTTCTTTAAAAGTTCCACTGTGGCTGGAACATCCTTTACATACATTGCAGATAGGTAACAGGATTGCAAAGTGCACCACAGTACACAGGAATACTGCTTTGTGCTTAGTGTAAATATGCTATGTTACCTGAGGCTAAATAGTTATCAGAAAGTCCATGCATCTAATATTAAATAGCACTGATGTAAGCATGAGGGATCTCCAAATGCTTTTCTTACTCCTAATCAATACTTTCATCATGTTATCAAAGGACATGACAGCTGGAAATTTTGCCTTTAGATTTTTATTTTAAAAAACTGGAACAATTCATTTTCCCTACACAATATATCCCAAAAACAGGTCAGCTTCTGGTCAACTTAGAATAAATTACACAAAACAGGTGGGATGAATATATTCAATATGGTGTCTGCAGGGATCAACTCACAGTTTTATTCTGCAAAACTAGAATCTGCTTGTAGAAAATGGCAGCCCCAGCAGAGCTTCACTGGTGTTGTACATTTCCATGTTTCTAGGTTTTTGATAAGAGTGTACCTGCTCTTGCTCTGTCCATCATTTGGATTTCAGGTGGCAGAGAAATGAAAACATCACCTACAATGGCACCAGCCAACATTCCTAGAACAATATATTCTGAAAAGTGGGGAAAACAGCTTTCGAATGAATGTGTCTGGTTACAAAATAATGTATTAAGCATATTTCTTTATCTTTTCCTCCAACTTTGCTCCTCCAATCTTGAAGGTGCAGACTTCCTTGCAGTCTTTTTTGATGTGTTTCAGTACCCTCCAGTACATTTCCTCGATGTGGATTCTTCATATGTGAGCATAAGAAAAGTATCATAGATATAGGAGGTATCAGTTGGGTATTATCCTTACGCAACAGTCCGAGGGTAAGCAAGTAACAAAACTAACTGGTAAGGGGCACGGAATGGTGGAGGAGTAGCAAGGACAGGATGCTACATATAATTAAATATAATTTTGGGGTATGATCAATGGTTCCTTGGCACTTTATTTGTTTTAACAATTGTATAAATAACATTATTTAATTTAGGCACAGATTTTCATTTCTGATTCTGAGATTCACACTCTTACTCTTGTCATGTGAGATTTTTATGATCCCAGGATAAAGGTATGGGGAGTGAACCCACACACAACTATCCTGCCCTTGCCTACTCTGTTGTGGATGTAGATAGTTTAACCCCTTGCTATTTTCACAGAGTTGAGTCCTTTATTTTGCAGATATGTTTTATAGCATCTCAGAGGGACCACAACCCTTGGGTTTTTGATAGTTAGGTTTAAAAGGTCTTGCCAACTTCAACTGTCATTATTATATGCTGAATTAGAAGTTAAATATATTTTAGTGCAATAATGATTCCTTAAAAGGGAGGTGACCACTAAATTAACCAGCAATGTGTAAATGTTCATTCATATTCGAGCACTTCTTCAAGTGGATAGATTCCTCTTCTGCATTCAACAGTATTTAGAATCTAACTTTAGTGTATCATCAGATCATGTACTTTCTATCCACTTTTCTACATTTGTTCATTAACTGTTCATGGTTTTCTTCATTTTTTTAAAATAATTTTTTTTAAAAACTGGGTGGCACGGTGGCTCAGTGGTTACAAGTTGTCCCAATTCTGTTCCAATCAATCACATCTGTTAATCATTTCCCTTTTACATCCCTAAGCTTTAACTCTCCATTATTATGTTTCTCACTAGTTTACTTTCAATTTTCTCTTTCATAATCTTTTGCTTAGTCATTGAGTCATACAGCTTGGAAACAGACCCTTCGGTCCAACAAGT